TATTTTGTCTTTTATCTTTCTAATTCTTTGGCTGCTGAAATCATGAAAATGTGCAGACTGCAACTCCAGGAAGGGTGGTGAAACAAACCCTCCACCCCAGGTGTTGGCTACTATCCATGAGGGCAGAGCTACACCCTGGAACAAAAGTGATCACCCAGTAGAACCAGATGGTCCCTTCACAGAATAACAACTAGGAAAGATAGAAATACAGACACATTTCTCAGACCAGTTAATGGGACCAGAACTGAGATAAGGAAGTCAATGGTGGTCAAGACCACACCCTGACCAGAGCTGCTTAATTATGCAAACCACATGCCCTTTGCCCAGTTCTTTCTCTATTTAATCTAAAGGTTTTGGGTGAAGATGCGCAGGATCATTGGACCTCTCATCTGTTCCTTTCCCAGTGTGGCCAACTGAAGTAAACTTTCCTCTGCTTTTCACCATTACTTAGAGACAGATAGCTGAGCATAACCTGCTAAGGAACACAGGGGGTTTTGCCCTGAAAAATTCATGTTAGATTACTAGTATAAGATCCATAGCCCCACCCAATAGTATTACAGCTTATTGGATAGCCTATTCCCTATGGCATTACTGTCATATTAACTTTATTTAAACACACACAAACAAGTTTTTCCAAACTGACAACAATGAATCTGAGCAAGTCAGTTGTGAAATTAAAATCTAGATCTTAATCATACGAAGACTTTTCTCCAGGGACTATGAAAAGATAACAAGTGATTTTGAAAAGTTGTATAAAATCACTATTTGTCCCACATCAAGGAAAGACCTCACAAACTCGTTTCTACTCGAAATATTTTCTCGTAATATTAGGTCGTTGTCCCAAAAGATTAACTGGCATGTCTTTACTGCTAAGTTGTTTAAAAGATCTTTAATGAGCAAAACAAAAAACTTGAAAAGTAACATGATTTCTGTTCTACACCCAGTTCATAGGCACCCACACCCCAAAATGGAACAATGAGTTACAAAACACCAGAGAATCACATATGTATAATTACCTGTTTTTAAAAGAGCCAAAAAAGAATTAAAGAAATAAAGGGGGAAGGGCCGAACCACGACTTTCTCAACTTCTCTGGAAAGACCTTTGTTCTCGTTTTTAAAATCTGCCAACTGGAAAGAACAAGGTTCCGTGTTTTGCTCACTTTTTGTGGAGTCACTTTTTTCTCAAACCCTTTTGCAAAAATTACTGCCGATTACGATACGAAGACTTGCCGTTTTCCCAGCACAGCGCTTCTGGAGTTCCAATGAACTCCAGAATCGTTTAGCAAGGATTCCCCTGACACTGCCCTCAACCTCCAAAGGACTTTGTAAATTACATGAAACGAACCCAATCCAAGTAACTGGACAGGCAAGTTTTCCATGATCAGGACTTGTGAAATTTGTTGTCCCCGCACCTCTTCCTCTTATCCCCACCTATGTTTCTCATCCATAACACAGGGCCAGTTTTCAAGCCAAGTGAAAAAACTTTATTAAAAGCACTCCAATGGGGCAGAGCGGACAAGGCACCTGACTCGGGCCGCCAACTCAATGGTTTCAACGGGACAAGCCCCGAGGAGTTAAGGTTTTCTCCATGCCCACCAGACTGCTGGTCAGAACCCGCCAATGCTCTCAGAATCTGCAGAAGTTTCCGCGCTCCGGAGCTGGCTCGTGGAGCAGTCCCCCGGG